TCGATTTTGTCCATCTATAGTCATGTGCGTTAATATGACTTTTTAAATGTATGCATCTTTGCGAAAATCTTGTAGAAGTTTGAAATTTGAAGTGTGACCCTTGGAAATAGTATAAAATACTCGCAATAAGTTGACGTGAGCATAGAATTTTCATTAACGTTCCCAAGGTGCAATTAGCTATACTTTTGTTTTTTTTTATCGAAAAGATGCTTTCATCCATTCATAAAAAAACGAACCCTACTAGGGCTGGACAAAAGAGTTTCTGAACATAAAATATTTCAAATGGGTAAAAGATGATAAGACAACCAATTGGTGGGAAGAGTCTCGTTACGGTGGACTTAAGCAACCTAATCAGCAGCTTGATTGGCTTCTCGGGACGGTAGACGACTTACGCCATATCCAAATTGGCTACACTTTAGTGTATATCAAATTGGGGCCGTGTGAAGGAAACGGTCAGCACTAGCGCTCTGTTCATCAGGATCTACACCTTCTGTACTAAAAAACACAAGAAACAGTGGGCGGGAATCTTCTGTTCAGTAGTTTCGGCACGTTTCTAAATGAAAGTGAAAGAAGAGAAAGTATAAAATCCCAATGAATACAAATACATTATAATTGACCAGTTGACTCCACTTTGATCATGCATACATGAGAGGCACTAGTCTTTCTAAAGTCTCCTCCCCAAGACTTTGTTTTCATATCTATTTCTATTTCCTCCTTTTCCCTTTTTGATTTGATTATCTCAAAAGGGATGTACCTTTTCCTCTGCTCGAATATTTAAGACATTTGTATGCACTTCAAGTTTTATATGGGTGGGCATAAAAGACGTGACATCGTGACTTGACTTGGTATCGATGTTAGATTGGCAAATTCGGATTTGACCTAACAGTAGAGACGTGAGGTTTTCCATTGAGAGAGGGTCAACCCATCACATGCCAAGAAACTAACACAAACATGACAAATAGATTATGAAAAGACGACACATTTTTGGAGGGATTACAATTAAAGTTATACCTTCGACTTATTCTCTGTTTTTTCGTAGTGTTTTGTCAAATTAGAAGACAGTGGACTTCAATGTAAGCCTAACACGACCACTCCTTGTCGTTTCTGCTGCAATATCTCGAGGTCATCTTCATCTTCGCTCTAAGTTTTGCTGCCAAGAATGGAATTATGGTTTCTCAGGGGAATTAGGGCTCGAATGCGAGGGATTGATTTTGGAGTTTGGGGCTGATACGAGACTTTAGTTGCTCGACCAAAAAAATGACACCATTTATCTAAACAAATACAGCATCAATTCGTTCAATATCAATCCAAGCCATGCCATCTTTGTTACATGTAGGCGATGATGACGACTGAAGTGCGTGTTAGATAAATCAGGCGAGATTTGGTTGAGAGGACTTAAATGCACTTTCCCTCCAAGGTTTATAACTAAATTGATTCGATTAAAAGGTTTAACACCCGATTAAATAAAGTGCAATAGGTTTAGAACTATTCGTGCAATCTTCCTTATATAATTTTACTGAGATCCTATTATCTATTTTCAAAGAAAATTGGTTTCTGTCTTTTAAAAGTTCGAAAATTTAAAAACTAGGGTGGCTGTCAAAGCAAAACGTACTTCCTAATCTGTATCCACTTACAAATGAAACAGAAAACCAGAAGGACTTCAGTAAGTAGTTCTTGTTTCTCACAAGTCATCCTCTATAGCTCCTACGTCTAAGCCCTCTCCATTTGAGTCTCAACATGCAACTAAGCTACAAGGCTGGATAGAACTCAGACGCGATTGGTGTACAGAAATACATAAATAATACCCAAATATAACACAGCAAGAACACACTCAACTAATATACCAACATGAATCGATCAGTTTCCAGTTATAGTTTAATAATTGTGGCTTATTAATTAAAATAATATGTGGGTATGCGCTAGGCTCGTGCATGAAATGTAGTAGTTATAATTAATAAGGCACGTAAGGAAGGGGTTGAAAGTGGGAAGTTATTATAAAAGTTAGGGTTAATTCTAAAAAAAATCTCAAAATGGTACACTTATGAAAAGTTTACTCCAAACTAATTTTTTAACCATAAAAAACCCCAAACTGGTACACCTGCGATAAATTTACCATCAATCAATTTCCTTTAAATTTTATCGTCAAATTACTAAGGTGGATAACACGTGACGGTTGATGAGTGTACAAGTTTAGGGTTTTACCTCTCTATTTGTCACAGATTTACTGATTTATAATTTTTCGTGGTACTAATCCAATTTAACGGAGGGTAAACTTGTCACAAATGTGCCAGTTTTTAGTTTTTTGTGGTCAAAAAATTAATTTGGAGTAAATTTATCACAAATGTGCCCATTTGGTGGTATCAATCGTAAAGTTAATTGTATCTTTTGTTTTTACCTTGTTATTATTTAGTGTAAGGGCAATCAGCCACTGAAGGCGAGACAAAACCCATTGTTGGCTTAAATATATAAGACATTATTATGCTTCTGGCAAGAAAATATGCCACGTTGTTTGTCCCGCTTGCATGGGAACAAGCACTAGCATTTGTGTCCCCTAGAAGGGCAGTGAGTGGCCAGTGCGATAGCGTATGCACCGTGAGTGACAAAAGTGAGGGTGCCGTGTGATTGGTAAAGGGGCGGGACATTATGAATTGAGTCCCCTCGGTGTGAGTCCAATGTGTTCTGATGTGCGCTCCCGTCAAATGATAATACAGCCGATTGTTGATTAGTGGCCACTCCCGGTGTGTATCGATATTTAGTGAATATCTCGAAGAAGGATACCTATCTTAAAGGCTCCCAATGTGTATTACTGTTTGGTGAATATCTTAAGGAATGATACTTGAATTAAAGAGGAACGGACCTTACACTAACCTCACACGCGAGGAAGAGATTGCTAAGATGCACGTGTGAGTTGTGTCAAAAAGTTTAACATCGGAATAGAAAGTCTCATATAAGAAAATTGGTGTGGTGTGCAGCAATTAATATATTTTAGTTGGCTCATAATTCAAGTGAATGTGGTTTCTATTGTAGAAGTTGACGGGTTCCGACCTGTATTCCCTCTTGGTGATCTCCCAAGATAAAAGTATCGGGTTTCTATTGCGCATTCCCAATATCGTTCAAAATTGTTGCTGTATTAAAGTACCAACAACCCTTTCCTGGCTCGACAAGTCACGGTTCAAGCCGCTTGAAATTCAATGGCAAGGAATCCAAATCCACTTGTACATGGTTGAATCCAGAAACCAGATGATAAAATTAAACCTATATTACCTGTGTGTGTGTGTGTGTGAACGGCAAATAAAAAGAAGCAGTGGGCGCTAGTCTTCTGTTTAGTAGTCTCGCCACGTTTCTAAATAAAAAGGAAATAGGAGAAAATATAAATCCCAATAAATACAAATACACTATAATTGACCAGTTGACTCCACTTTGACCATACGTATATGAGAGACTAGTCTTCTGAAGTCTACTCTCCATGGAGTCTTCTAAAGTCTACTCACCGAGATATTCAGCTTCGGATTCAGAAGAAGTATCATCATCGGTTGCGGCCATAATGTCATTTAGTTGATAGAGGGTTTCTTCATCTATTGATAGCTCATTTATTCTTTTGTTTATTCTATATTATTTTGAAATACGTCCCCTTTTCCCGCATGTATAACATTTAATATCTTTGTTAATCTTCCTCTTAGGTTTTTGTCTAAGTTTACTATGTTTATGTTGTTTTTTTTTTTTGGTAAGGAACTATGTTTATCTTGTTGTGGCTTGGTCATGTGATAATTTTTAAACTTTCTTTAATCTGTCTTAGGAGGACAATCTCATTTACACTTCGGTTTTGTTGGTTCAGTATATGAGGGATCAAATTGGGCACAAAAATCACCTAAGTCTTAAGGGAGTATTCCTTTTTAAGTTGTCGTTGTAATTTGATTGAATTGCACATTTGTGTTCCTTGCCTATAAACATATGAAACTAGCTCTCCATAGGACAGTAAGTGATGGGGAATGTGACTATCATATTCTTCCTTTATTTTATTTCGAACTTAGTCCCCTATAAAACAGGATAATCCTGCAAATAATTTTTCTTTCCAAAAAGGTTGATTACAATTTGGTTTGACTAAAACTCTTTGTAAGAATTCTTTGTATTCTCTGAATTTTCCTAAGAATTTGCATTTCATGTTTGATAAAAAGATCTTAATTTATATCTCTTATGTGCAAATGAACACCTATAAAGTGTCGGGATATAGAGAAAATGAGTGTATTGATAGCATCTTGGATGATTTGTCCATTTTCATCCTTAATGCTTTGTTCATATTCATGTATTCTATATGCATTTAATACTTGGGTTTTTTGTTCATAAGTTAAGTAATTATCCCACCAACCTTTTAGTTGTCCAGTAAAGCGCGCCACTAAGATTAGCAATGATCAGAAACTTCTTGTTGAGTTTTATAAGCATTTGCTACCATGACCATATGATTTAGTATGTTGATAATGTTATTTTCAACAACACCATCTATACTCCATTAGTTTCGGTTGTTATTCTAAAAGGAGTAGAGTTTACGGCAAGAAATCATGCGAAGTTGTTTGTCCCATTTTGATGCTAGTAAGCTCTAGCATTTATTACAGACCATAAAAGAAAGCTCTAGCATTTATGTCCTATAGATGTGGAGTGAGGGGCCAGGGAGAGGTGTTATGTACTGTGAGTGCGCAAAATGAGTGCCGTGAGATTGGCATGAAGTGAGCCCCTCCAGCGTGAGACCAATGTGGCCTTGTGTTTGAGATTTGTGAGAGTTAACAGACACAATCAATGCCAGTCGTTGCATTTCGAGTCTGTCGTTATAATAAAGTACCCAACAACACCTTCCGACTTGACAAGTCACGGTTTGAGCCGCCTGGATTTCGACGGCAAGGAATCCGAACCCGCCCGAACACAAATGAATCCCGAAACAGATGAGAAATGGCCCTCGGAAAATATGATGCAAAGATTCAGGACGACCGCAACACGTTACAACAGAAGAGCATGAAACCATATTCTGCATGTTAGAAACTCATAAACTGCTTACAGTGAAGCTATTTGAGTTTGATGCAAAGGATCGACTCTTACCATGATATGGCCAACAAAGTTCGTAGCCTCCAAGGTAACAACTTTACCCAAACACAACAAATAGATAACACTAATATTCTAAGACTTCTAAATTGTACTGTCAATAAATAATACGGATTGTAGACAGATAAAATTTTCAGTCAAAAATAAGCTCACTCACAGATGCTTCTTTTTCTTTTGCTTTTCAAGGATGAGAGTATGCCTCGAGATTTCATCAAGGAGTATATGAAATTTTTAATCAATTTGTGTATTTCCTCCAGTCATTTTCATACTTTCTGGTCTTCATGGTTTCTACACGTTCTACTTACCTTCGCACCGCGTGTAAAAAACAAACGATTCTCTAGGTTCATATTGCAGGATCCCCAGCAACATTTGTTAGCACATTATCTATAACGGAAACTCCGCTTGGGGACGCAACCACCGCGGTGCAACTGCAATAGAAAGGCACTTCCATCAGCTCAACAAGCACAAGGGGAATTTTGAATAAGGTCTACACTAAATAGTAAATGTAACGAATTCCGAGATATTTTCCCTTGAAGATCACATCCATGGTCAACTCAAGCTTTCTGAAAATGATGAGGATGTTGACCCTATCACTCCACAACAAGCTACAGGTTGTGCTAAGAGATGGTTTAAATTTTAACAAGATAATATATCAATACTATTGAGATAAGTTACGGATATGAATGGGGACATAAGTTTAAGCAGAATTTCCCCAAAATCATTTGATAAGTTAGGATCTACTCAAGACAAATACCAATTTAGCGAGACCAGGCTACACTAAGGATTGCTGTCATATAAACATCGGTAAGATGACATACTACCTATGACAGAACCATTTCTCACTACCTATGGTGTAAACTCTGGTTTCCAATATCTGAATGTGAGGTAAGTGATCCATAACCATATCCATGGACCACCAGACTCACAGATGCTGCTCAAGAGAATTAAGTTTAACAACATAAAATCCAGCACCCAAATATTGCTTTGAAAATCTACCCTCTCTAAACACAAAAAATGCTAGCACGGCACTTTTCTGGAACCATTGTATGAGAGATAGGACCTCAGAAATCAAAGAAGTTCAAGGAATCACTCAGAGTTCTCTTGAGTATGCTTTGCCAAGCAATAGCATTTGTTCCTGAATATGGTCTGAGATTATAATCAGCCGAGGAAGTTGCAGTGCCATATCTCCAGGGATCATTTAGTGGACAGCCAAGTCTCAATTACAAGTCCATACAGTTAGTATTTCACCTGTGATGATCTCCATCACATACCATCAAGTGATGGCTAAGAGGAATAGCAAAATAACTGCAGGCCGGAATCTAAGAGAGGAAAACTGAAGAATCTTTTAAGTAACAGTTTGCTGATATTGACTATTGAATTTTTGCAGGACAGTCCACTGAAGAATATCTAATGGATAAGAAACAGGGACAGAAATCTTCAAAAGGAACAAAGTGGATTATTATTAAGGAAAGACAGGACAGGAATAGCGGTATCATTGCCCTTCTTTCAATATTCAGGAGTCTTATGTTAAAAAATGCTTATAAAAAATGCGGTGTCAAGTAACTTTCACTTTTGTATGATGAAGAAATTATCCCTCACCATATATGCACAAGGAAAAGCTTTTAAGATGATTGATTTAGGAAAACTAAAACATAGCCAGCAGCACCTCCACTCTATCACCATCAGCATCTCCACCACCATCAGCATGGACAAATTGAAAGTTGGTAAATGACAGTGGAGGTGGCAATGGTGGGGCAATTATGATAACAAGTGGTTGAGGTGGCGGTATTTGTTTCTCTAGAACATGAAACTATTTTTTCATTTGGTCTCAACTTTAGCTCCTCTGATATTTGAACATAAACAGATTAAAGACTCACATCCGAATCTACAATCTAAATTACAATAGTTACGTCAATTAGACTGCCATACAAATCTACTGCCAATTAGAATATCCTGGAAATAACCCTACACGTGAAAACAATTGAATACTGTTGTTCTTCTTAATCCAAAACATTGTATAAGAATGTTCCGAGATGTGTTCTATGAAGATTACACAATAAAGTGGGCACACACAAAACAAGTGAATCAGAGCTACTTGCTTGTTAATCTTGCCTTGGATGGATGAAAGGATTTTCTGCATTTCTTGTTTCCAAACAAAGGGTTTATGATCCGATTCATCAAAGGTTAATATTGAGAGAGATCTTTGTTCAGATGTTAAACCAGTTTGCCAATTTTTAAATATTGATGACATGTGTGTGTGTGTATACACACACGGAAACTTATTGAGGAAGCTTATTGAGATAGAACTAATTCAAAGAACAAAAAGACCCTCTTCCATTCAAGCAGCATGGCAGAAATGGTGGTCATGAAATGCGATTATCATTGTGACTTGAGAGTCGTATATTGCTGTGTGCTATTGACTAAGAAGCATGCTTCTGCAACACCTCCAAGAATGACCAAACAAATTTCCTTCGATGCTGATCAAAGAAATGCACCAAAAGAATGAGGTTTAACTCACGCAAACTTGGAAATGACCCCATGGTCCACCACTCCATCTACTCTGTCAAGGCTCTCAGCTACTTGAGCTGCAATTACACTTGAGAGAAGTCACGCACATAAATCATAAAGGAAAATAAGAGAAGCAAATCAGGTTTGAGCATCATACCAAGGTCAGCAATTGGAGATGTGAATATGACATCAAGAACATTATGGCCATCCTTGGTAACTACTGGAAAATCTCCACCTAATGGATCAGCATGTCCTATAGATGGTCTTCTCCAGACCTTCGACAGAAGAGAAAATTAATCATACAAATCATAGTAACAAAAATCCGCCACATAGAAAAAACTCCCAAGGCGCCCCATCCAAAATTGTTACAAAATCACGGTAACAAAAATCTGCATACCCACAAGGTGAGTGCCAAATTATATTTTGCTGACACTACAAAGTCATGACATGTCAAGTTAACAAGTATTATATTAAAGAGACGATAGTTTATAACTGTAGTTGAAGCTTAATAATTTAAAGGATAAGCAATCCCCTATTCTATGCTGTGATCTAAACAATAAACCTCCAAATAGAAGCGACATTTAAGTTCTGACTGATCAAAGTTGTAGGGAGATTAAATATTTAATCTCAGATCAGTTTTAAGTTCTTCAAATAAAGTCCAGAATCAGACCCTAGTATTTACATTTTATCAAAAACCAAACCTCTGCATCTCCCAGAAACAAATCATCAATCTCTTCAGCTGTCTCCATCCAGTTGAGCTGGCAATAGAATCTTTACTTCACTATCATTCGGTTGAGCACTTTTAACATATGTAATTGACATATATGTGCGTAGCTGCTTACAGATTGAACTAAGACTGGAACAGAACCATCGAGAGCACCTTTATATCTGTTCTCTGTGATGATAAATACAAGTCTCTTGGCTGCATTAAGTACAAACTGCAAACAGCAAAATAATAACCCAGTTGGCTCACAGTTAGAAAGAAGAAAGAGCATATGATTCCATCATAGAGGGATAGGCTAGTAAGGCTCATCTTATGATGTCTAAACAGGACTCACTTTCTCTTGGATTATTGACTCTCCGCCTTCCAATTTTCGGCGGCCAATAACAGCAATGAGTGTGTCTTCTTCTATGATATCAGCATCATCAAAGGCAAAGTCAATCTACCAAAAACCAAGTATATACAATATTAAAGTGACAGAGAATGGGATACTTGGGTATAACCTAAAGCAACAAACTCCAAATATGAAGAGGATAAGAAAGAAACTAATCAAATAAATTCTGTGGTTTTTCCACAATTCAATTTTTCAGCATGTTAACTTGCAATAAAACAAGTAGGAAAACACAACAGGCCACCATGCAATGGACCATTCTTTAGTGCTTTGCTGCACGACTGCTAAGCTGCACTTCGCAAGTCAATGGGCTCAATCCTTGACTGACTCAATTCATGCAAAATTGCAGCCCGGGAAAATCCTCAGGCAGGATCATTGTGGAAAATTAATCTTTTGATTTAAAATTGATGCAGCTGAACAAATTTCCATGGTAACAATTTCAATGTTGACTTAGATCCTGCCATTTCAAGAACCATTTACCAAATTTCCAAAACACTTCTGTAACAAAAGAGAGAAAAAGATTGTCACAGACACAGGGAGACTGAGTATGAATTAGCTATGTGTCCACACCTGAGAACATCCTTGGCAGTTATCCAAAGGAATTCCTGATTTTGCTGCTTCGCTTGCACTTGTAACAGACCTACATAAGACTTTCAAGGAAGAATGAGAAATTGGACCAGGAAATTTGACCCTGAAATTTCTGTTGCTTCCTGCCTCTTACCCAGGAATTTTTAACATATACAAGTATCCCAGAGAAAATATTCAGTTCTCATGTTCCATGAAAACGAGAAACGAAAACAGTATTTAGTTTTAAATTTTATTGAAGCCTGTTTGTTTAGTGAAATGAGAATTTATTCCAGAATTAAAAATAGTGAAAAATCATGCTTATATTCCATTAATGTAAAGAGGCTTTCCTTTTGGGATTTCAAACACTCTAAAATTCATTTGCAATGAAAGTAATGAAAAAATTTAAAAAAAGGTTATCATCAGTTTATTTAAATCAGATTCCCTTGTTTTAACTGTTCAAGCTGCTGAAAAGAATCTATGGATCGTAAATAGATACAAAAACAGAAAATTTAGAAAACTTTAGGGAACGCAATAGGACTTAGCGCTTGATTTGAATTTCCGTACTCCTCCTCTACTGGTTATTCTATTCTACTCCGAAATCTATTAAAACCTACATCTAGTCTACATGTAAGGCCAATCTCAAAAGTGTACTAATGACTACATTTGGCATTGTTAACCCATTTAAGATAACTAAATTTGCGCAAAACGTGGTAGAAAGTAAATAAGAGAACACTGGATATTTGACTAACAGAGTGATCTTTTGCATTATGCATCTATTGGGATGCATGTATGAATTGTATTAGAAAAGTCTCATATCGGAAAATTAAAATGTTGTGGAGCAATTATTAATCCTAATTTGCCCATGACTCATTGGACTTTTGAGTAAAGGTGGGTTCGGCTGGATTTGTTGATGGCTCACATTTGGACTCTCTCTTAACGATCTCCCTATCTAAAGTATCAGAATTTTGCTATGTGCTCCCAACAAATAGTATCAAAATGATGGTTGATTGGTGTGTCCCTAATGTATATCAGTATCCTAGACTAAACAAGGAATCCCATGGATCTTCGCAGTTACCAAGTGTGGTTTACCATCACAGTCCAGTTTGGGAAGAGATCATGGTTGAAAGGCGTGTTTAAACTGGCCGACGATGATTGGAGATTCAAATTAAGACATCTTAATGCAAAAGAATAACTGAATTAAGAGAAAGCAAACCTAACATTAAACTCACACGAAACAAAAATTATTGAGATGCATGTATGAGCAATCTCCCCACCTAAAGATATTAACTTTTTACTGCTCGCTTTTAACAACATGCTTGACAATGATTTTCTAGTTTTTATGTTGCGCACTCACACCCCTGATCTTCATTATCAACTTCAGTCCTTGATGGCAGTCAAAATCTTCATTATATATGTCTCAAATTGGCATTCAAACTTTCCATGTTAGTCTTGTCTCAAATTGTCAATCTTCTATTTCTTAATTGAAACTACAGTGCAAAACTAGAAGTATAGCAGATAGTCGGCGACCAGGACCTAAGGCTCGTGAGGGGCGCCAGCGATGTGGGGGCAGCAACACCGTGGCGGCGACCCCAATGGAGTCAAACTATCCCCACGTTGCACTCTCTTAGATTAAGGTTAGCTTTTTAAGATTGAAAATTTTGGCTTTTTTTATTTTTAGCTTTTATGGTTTTTGTTTTTTTTTTAAATTCTAAAATTTTCTTATGTGAGCCTCATCAGTGCCACGTCAAAACCAACATGTGTTTTGAAGAATTAAAAAAATGTCACGTTGGATTCCGGCATGCCACGTCACCAAAATTTACGAGGAAATCATTGAAAGGACTAAATTGCACTGGATCGAAAAAGTGGGACTTGATTGCACATTTTCAAAATTTAGAACTTGATTGCACATTCGACCAAACATTTAAGATTTTTTGTACAATTTTCTTTTTGCCGAATGACCTTAGTTTGTGAGCAAATAAGAAAAAACTAATAGAGATAAGGAAGAAAGGTTTAACGAGCAAGTTGATGAAATTAAATAAGTTCAAGGATTAAATCAGAACTTATACATTCGCTTTTGTCAGTAAAAGCTATTTGACTTGGTAGATTTTTAATTGGAATGTATTTACCATCTTAAGCAGAAATTTGACAGCTGAATAAAAAAAAAAAGAGTAAATTTGAGCAAATCCGAACTAACCCCTTCATGTAAATAATGCCAGCTCAAGACAGAAGACACTAGACAAATCATGACCTACCAGGTTATGTAGAAATAAATCGTCTCGAAGAATCACAAAAGAATAGGTCCGCCAATGAACAATTGTCAACCATATGGTCGGCCCTACAGTATACAGTTGCTCCCCGACAACCGTCCATCCTTGTCATGTTCTCTACCAGTGCGAATAAATGTAACAAAAGTGCCTGATTGATATGAGATGCAAGATTTAATAACCTAATCAAGAAACACAAACAGGATGGAGCTAATACACTGCAAATAACTGATTTCTATTATAAAACAGAGAAGAAGGTCTTGGGCTTGCAATTGCAAGGGTAAGAAGAACTCACGTGGGGTACCCCCTACTATATCTTCCAAAGCGCCTGCACGGAGTTGCTGACCAAGATATTTTATGGCCATGCTAGAAGCGTTACCAGATCCTAGCCCAATCACCATTCCATTCTCAACGTATCTGTCAACCTGGAAATGAAATGTCAACGAAAAATTCCTGACATATAAGGGCACCAGTCGAAGAGGTAAAGTCAGTCATATACGACTATAGAAGTAGCCCAAATTACTTTGCATTACATTTATTCACAACTCATTCAATCAAAATAGCCAGGCGAAGAACTCCTAGTTTCACTTTATATTGAAGAGTTGACAGTATAGGATATCAAGAAAGGACTCGGTAACGGCAGTCAGAGGATGATGACAATCGGAACCGGAATGTACTTCTCTGGGCGGAAGGCAAAATCCAATTAAAGGGTGGATGCTATTTATGGAAGTGGCAAGCTAGAGTACAGTCACATGCATATTGGATGCAAATGAACATGTGTTAAAACATGGTTTATGATCGTAGAGAGGCATTCAGCGAAATTGGAATCGGTTCTTAGATAATATTCGCTTTATGGTTGGTAGTTTAAGTTCGTCAGGTTATGCCAACATGCACTGACCATCTCAAATTGCAGTTTTCGTGCCAGTTTTCATTCACTAGGACCAAAGGCATCTGATCGTGGCTTTGCGACAAAATAATTGCTGCAGCACAAATAAATATGTGCTCCCTTCAATGAAAATTTCTCGCTAATCACAGATACCAACTGACTACACACAACTATTCTGCAGGAGCCCACTTGCAATACGCACGATCAGGCGCCCTTCATGACGGGGATATCGACACTTATATGATTCGCCTTTCCAACTCAGTTACAGCTGATCAAAGTTTGTGGGCAGATGGAGGCTGATCCAAAACTACTATTCTACAAGCAATTGCAAAACCCGCGAAAAGAGCTGTGTGGTTTGAATTAGGCACACAACATAAGTTCAATTACCCATACAATCAAGTGCGAAGGATTCGGTACTTAGGCCACCCACCCAGGCTTAACTCACATCTCACATACATTGAAGTTAGCCAGATATTTCATGAGAACTGCTTTATGTTCTAGACATCTCCAATGCACAAGAAAGATGGTGATGATATTTTTTGTTTTTTGGGTCAGAAGACTGTGATGATATGATCAGTCTTGGATTGATATGACAAAATGTACAGCTTCTAGTTAGATCTCTCAAGGAGCAAGAATTGTACAGTTCCATCTACAACCAATACTTGAGCAACCAATACGCCGAAGCTTGAATCAATCACCACCAAATTCTCTAGTTCTTGAATGAGACAATAAATCAAGGGCAAAAGAAATTTCACAGGCATGCATTGTGTCGGCCAACACTCTCGTACAACTAAAAGAACCAGAAAGAAAAAACCGAGAATGACGTACGGTGTACTTGGCTGCACGGAGCAGAGGAGGCGCGTCAATGTCGGATGGGGCGGAGCATCGGACGGCTGTGGGCGGAGGAGCTCTCGCTCGGCCGTTGCAGCTTGCGAAGGAGAGAGAGAATCGAAAGGGCGGTGCTAGTGAAGCGGTTGATGCCGCCATTTTTCGCCCCCTCCGTCCCGAGCTGCTTTCTTCTGGCGAGTACTCTGTTTCTCGCTTTTATGCAATTGTGGATAAGAGGGGACCCACTTCTCTTTTGTCTACGTTTACACATCAGAAAGCTCTTGGTATGGAACCTTCAACCTGGAATTACAACGATGAAATCGATTCACAATTTTGGACGTGAAATCTACCATGTTGGCTATGAAACCGACCCCAGGACTTATCATGTTTTTCCAATCCGATTCTAGGATTTATCTGAAAACCCGTTTTCTTTTGTTCCTTTTTTTTTTTTCATTTTTTACAGTAGAATAATTGGAAGAACAAAATAAAACAGTTCAAAATAAAAAAATGAACAAGGGAGAGCGAGCAAAGGCGAGTTAGGAACAAGCGAGGGCGAGTTGCCAGCAAGCAAGGAGGAGAGTGAGTTGTGAGCACAAGAGAGAGAGTCGTGAAGTGTCCAAGTGAGGTTGGAGAAAACTAGAAAAAAAAAAAGAGACAGGGAAAAGATGTCAAGAGAAAAACTGTAATTTTTAGGCTTTATGAAATCGGTTTCAAATTCGGTTCGATTCCTGAGTGATTATTAACTCAGAACCAGACCGGTTCCCAATGGTTCCAAAAATATGGAATCGGAAACCATATCGATCTTCCAAGGGTTCTATTCGGTTGCACAATCCTATTTTATACTCTTAAAAAATACTGGACTGGTCTTCCATTTAAACCTTTATATTAAAATAGAATAAACTTTGAATTAACAAAGATAATAACTTCTGAACGTTTAAGGAATTAATATAGAATTGTCAATGTTCCTATTGATTAAAAAAATTACGATATACAAGGTTTAGTACCCACTAATAAGGCCACTACATTTACGAGTTGTAAGGAATACTGTGATCATTGAGGCGAGTTAGTAAGTCTACGGAAAAAAAAGGGTTAATACCACGAAAAATCCAAAACTGATACATTTGTAACAATTTTATCCTCCGTTAGTTTTCATTAAATTTTACCATTAAATTACTGAGCTGGATGACACGTGACAGTTAATGGCATATCAATTTGGGATTTTACCCCTTTATTTGTCATAGGTTTATCAATTTGTGATTTTTCGCTGCTTTAATCCAATTTAACGGAGGGTAAAATTGTCACAAGTGTACCAATTTGGAGTTTTTTATGGTCAAAAAATTAGTTCGAGGTAAATTTATTACAGGTGTACGAGTTTGGGGTTTTTCATGGTATTAACCCAAAAAAAATTACAATTAAGTTAGATTGCTTATGATATTTCATGGAAAGATACAAACGTTAGGAAAGAAAAAATAACACTAATAGTCCCTAAAGTTTGGTGTAATATGGAAATGTCTTCCTTGTACTATTAGTTCCTTTAATATGGTCCTTTTAGTATTTATAGATAGTCAATGTACTCCATTTATTTAATTAAATTATGGAGAAAGTCATCACAAGTCCCTGAGCTATTGCCAAACGTGAAATTTAGTCCCTAAATTTTCAGTTTGTCTTTCAACTTTTTCACAACAAAGTAAAATCAGTTATTTGATATTATTCACAAGTTTTCATAATTACACTATTGCCAGGATTTTATAATTACTTTTCATATCAATCAATTTCCTAAAGCAACAAAAAATGTGCTATCTTGTGCTTTATTTTTTTTATATCTTTTTTATCTTTACAAATAATACGATAGTTCCATTTAAAAATATTTTAGCATATGATATCTATAATAATAAATATACATCATTTAGAATTATATCAAGTTGATATTCCTACTACTTTAGGTTTAAGGTTTTCATAAATATATCTAGATACGACATTAATTTATTTATAGATATACACACACTCGTGTTAATTTAACCCTTTCGTAATATTTTAAATAGACAAAATTTTCAACCTTTCTTGTTTCGTGTTTTCTGATTAAATCTTGGGTCACACTTTTTCTATTGCTCCTTTGGCTTGTACACTTCCTAAAATTGTATTTTAACCGTACTATCCTTCGTGGGTCTCACTTTTTTACTTTGTTTTACTTTCTTTTTCTTCTCTGTCTCTTTGTTCTCTCTCTTTGCTTGTTCGACCGGTAGTTCCCAAGCGCAAGGTGTAGAGATAGGATGCACAAGCTTGATAAAAGGAGGAGCCGCCGATGGTGAACGAAGAGGAGGCTTCGGCTCCGACAGAGTGGAGGACGGCATTGGAGAGGGGCTTTCACAAGATGGACAAGGAGGTGATTGCGTGGAACGAGGGCATGGTGGCAGTGCACAAGAGGTGCAGGTGTGCGCCGGAGTACGACGCTGCCATTGTCACCCCTGACAAGATCGTTGTTGCCAACTGCGGCAACTCCAAGGCCGTGCTCTCGCGCAAAAATTCTCTCTGTTCTCTCTTGCATTGTGCACTTAATTCTATTACCCAACCAAGATCCTCCTTAGTACGGCGAGGATGGAGGAGGCGGGGCTAGGGTGGCTTCGAGGAGAGCAACAAGAAGTAATTGGTGGCGAAGTGCGGCCGCAACCACTGCAATTGCATCAACGGCAACAACAACAACACCTTCGACGACAATTAACATCTTTGACGGCTGCGGGCCCGTTTGGTTCAGCTTTTCGAATCCAAAAAGCCGAAAGCTAGCATTTGGAATGCTATGGAATGCTGAAGCCTATTTTTCCCTTCCCAAATTGCCCTTGACGAAGGGCCAACGAGGGGCCGGCAAGGGCAGATCTGGGCAGTGAAGGACCGGCGAGGGGACGGCGAGGGGCCGGCGAGGTCGCCCGACCCAGGCGACGACCGCCTGGGGTTGGGCGATCGCCCAGGCGCCGTCGCCTGAGGTCGCGCGACCCAGGCGACGGTCGCCTGAGGTCGCGCGACCCAGGCGAAGGTCGCCTGAGGTCGCGCGACCCATGCGACGGTCGCCTGAGGTCGCGCGACCCAGGCGACGGTCGCCTGGGGTCGGGCGACCACCCAGGCATCGTCGCCTGGGTCGAGCGACCTTGCCGGCCTTTCGCCGGCCAGATCCGCCCTCGTCGGCCCTTCGCCGACCACCCTCGCCGGTGAAGAAGATGAACAGTATAGAGGCAAAACCGGAATATTAAAAATAAAAGTTGCCAAAGCCCTTTGCAAAAAAAAATTTACCAAACACTACTTAGGCCAAAGTAGCTTTACAAATTTTTTTTACCAAACACCACTTGTATTTTCCCAAGTGACTTTCACCTAAAGGTATTTGCATTCCCCCAAATAGCATTTGAAATGCCGAACCAAACGGGTCCTGCGTCGAGTCGGTGACCCAGATTGTCAAGCGACACCTCAGATGCTCTTAAGGTGAAAATGCTGCTTCTCTCAGGCTACGATTTCTCCATCTATAGATCCAAATGGGTAAAACCCCATCTTTCCTTGCCGATGCTCTCTCCCTTAAGTTCCTCAAGTTCATCGTCATAGGTTGGATCTTCATCCTCAAAATCGTTCAAGCGCACGGTGGGGTTGAGCGACGCCTCGCCGATCTTGTGCCCCTTCACGACGGAGTAGACGATGGTCAGGAAGGTCTTGATGATGGTGGGTCGAGGCCGCGAGGGGTGCGAGGCGGAGAAGCGAGCGAACGGCACGGCCAATGGAGCCTTTGGAGGCACGGTGGATGACATAGGTGGAGAAGGCAACGAGGACGATGGGGTGTTTGGTTCAGCTTTGGGAAGGGGCTTGGAACCTCGAAAGCCCCTTCCCAAAATGCTGGGGTGTTTGGTTCAGCATTTGGCCAATGCTAGCATTCCAAATGCTGAAAGCCTAAAGCTGGTACGGACCAGCCTTGGGCTTTCAGCCTTTGCCAAATGCTACTGTTCATGCGTCACTGTTCATCTTCTTCGGCGAGGGAGGGCGACCGGCGCTTGGATCGCGCCGGCGAGAGGCCGGCGAGGTCGCACGACCCAGGCGACGGCCGCCGCCGTGAGGTCGCGCGATCGCCCGGGCGCCGCCGGCTGGGTCGCGCGACCTCGGGCGGCCGCCGCACTGGGTCGCGCGACCTCCCGGCCATTGCTAGGATTTTGGCATCCAAATGCCATAGAATTGAATGAGAAGTGTGTGGATGAAAGTGTCCCACATTGAATAGAAGAGAGGTGGGAGATGGGCTCAAATAGTTGAGCCTCACAAATGGGTTTCGGCCCCAAGGGGTACCCCACTTTTGTGGAAGGGAGAGGACCTACGCCAAGCTAGGTCGGTTCCCCCCCTCGCGCGCGCGCCGCCACCGCCGCCGCCGTCCATCGGGCCGGCTCGGCTCGGTTCGGTTCGGTTCCGAGTCCATTCTCTATCGGTTTTTATTTTTTCCGAACAGACACGTTGTTAGAAATTAATTAATTATTTATTTTTTGGACAAACAAACATGTCTGTTCGTGAGGTTCGGTTCACCCGAACGAAAACCGAAGCCCTTCGCGACTGTTCACGAACCGAACCGGTTCAAGTGAACTTTCGCTACTGTTCACGAACCCTCGTAACTCTTCATTTTCGCCACTTTAATATGACTGAATAGTTAGTTCGATACAGTGACACTTCGTGACATCGGCATTCCCGTGAGACATTCTCTACGCATATTCACTTCATCATTGTCATTTTGTGCGATTATTCTGCAAAATTGCGTTCGTAGGAGTCCTCCGAATACGTACCGCTTCGGAGGAACGAGATCCGTTCTATCCTGGGAGACGATTGTCCAATATCCTCGGGTACTGATTGAGGGGGCCAAATTCCTCTTAAGGACACGACGTTATTTCGTTGGGCCCGGATCAACATTCTGCTTATTTGGTTGTACTGCTTTCAGGTTAGTTTTCCTAACGTTTGATTTTAATTTCGAGTATACGAACTTAGCCGACAACAATCTTAAGACGAATTTTCTTCGGTTCTGTTCGTATATTCTTATGCGTTGTTCATTGACTTTTTCTGTCAAATATCTAGATTGCCGTTCCTTTAAGTCGAACTTTTGTATAGTTCGTATGTTCCTTGTCATTGTCGTATAGGAATACTATTTTGTTTGTACATTCTGTTCACACATTCTGTTCGTGAACAAATATTTTCGTTTCTGTTCGTATTAAAATTTTCAATTATGTTAGTGAACAAGTTTTTCGTTTCTGTTCATATTAAAAATTTTCAATTCTGTTCGTAGTCATATATTTCCGATTCTGGTCGTGAATATGTTCTGTTTTTATATTTCAGAAATGGCTTCGACTTCGACTCCGGTCAACCC